CTCTCTCTCTCTCTCTCTCTCTCTCTCTCTCTCTCTCTCTCTCCTTTGAGGCCTGTGTGATATCTAGATCTTTAGACTAGACTCTGTTTAGCTGTTGAGTACATTTGTGAGATAGTGGTCCTTGGTTTAGCTGTTGAGTACATTTGTGAGATAGGGGTACTTGGTTTAGCTGTCAAGTCATTTGTGAGATAGTAGTGGTACTTGTTGCAGAAGTAGTAAGGTGTATTTCTTATGTGGAATTGCATTTACCTTTTGATAATATGGTAACTATGATATTATGAAGTAATGGATGGTAATCAATCAATGGTTGTGTTTTAATTTGATGTTTTGACTATGTAAGGGCACTGAACTGTATTTCGAGATTCATTCCGACTATTAGAGCAAAATTGGAGAAAAAGTTGGTGGTGATTAAATTCTAGTGGAATTAGGAGGTAAGTTAGGTGATTTTTTGGCTAAATTTTGGTGTATATTTTTATTTTTATTTTAAAACTATTTATTGCCATGTTTTAGCCAAATTATGGGGTCATCATTGAGCCATTTCAGCAGGAAACTTTATCCCTTCTTTTAGGTTGAATTCAGTTGAAGTTTGAAGTCAATTTTTTTAAGCTGAATTTGTGGCAGTTCTATAGCCATTTGAACTCCCTTGAGCAATTGTTGGGTTGAGTTTAGTTAAAACTCTCACACCAATTTCTTAGCTGTGTCGAATTTCTTTTAGTCATTTTGAGGCAATTTCAGAGTAAGAACTTTTGATATTTCTTTATCTGCCTTTGAGAAACATTGTTAGGTCATTCTAGTGTCCAAATTGGGAAATTATTCTTTTGCTATTTGGAAACCAAATTTGGAGAAAAGGTCTTTTATTTTCTAACCTGAATTTGTGATTTACTTTTGGCTTTTTTCTAGAACCAAAATTGGAGACATCTTATGGGATAGCAATTCGTTCGCCACATTTGTGGGAATTTTGAAGCAGTTCAAGTGCTAATCTCGGAGGGAGCTTGCGATCTTCTCTCATCAGGCTTAAAATCATATTAAGGTTATTTCTATGGGTCGCAATGGATCTGACCAGACCCGTGACCAAAACCGGGTTCTGATGGGTAGACCCGACCTCGGGTTCGGGTTCAAAACCTGGGCCCGAATACTATTTGGGTTTGGGGCCAGGTCAGACCCTTTGCCCTCCCTAGTTATTTCTTGAAATGTACTTTCTGATCTGTATGATCTTAGAAGTACTGGTTGGTAATAACAGTAGTGGACAGTGGGAACCCCAACCTTGTAACATGTCGCTAAGCTTGATGGCATGGTGACACCAATTAGTACCTCTCCGGCAGATAAGGTCTGACATAGCAGAAGCTGGGGTCTGACAGGCCCGCATATTGGCTTTGTGCTAATGACCTTAGAGCTACTGTCAAAGTTGAGCTTTAGAGTGCTTGCCTTCCCTTTGGGGAGATTCCTTTAGAGTGGGGCGCAAAGTCTAGGAATGAGCACTCACTGAAGTCTATTCTTCGATTTAGCCGTAGATATAATTATTACTTTGAGCTCACCTCTCATCAGATAGGAGTTTGAAGGCAAATCCCATGCGCCTTATTTTTTTTCTGTAGTGTGAGGTTATTGATGGTGGCTGGTTTTGTAATTTACCTTTTTCAGTAGCAGGGTTGACATTCACTGGATGAGAAGAGAACTGAAAGTGGTGGACACTACCCACTGTGAATCAGGTATGCTCAATGCCTGACAGAAAATCTGTAGCTAATGACAGTGAATAAACAAATGGCTTACGGAAATCTCACCTTTCTTGCATAAGCTGCAGATTTTCGGAGAAGGTGGTCCTCGGTGTTTGACACAACACATGATGAGTGCCTTGTCTAAGATTGCGAGTGAGGAGTTTTATGTGGTTCTGGTATGGGTAGTCCATCCTGAATGTGCTGATGTTTTTGAGAGCCTTGTTCGAAAATGTTTTTTACAGAAAACATACCATCAGTGTATGGCCTCTTTAAGTGATAGCATCTTCCCTCTTGGGGTGATGATAGAAGTTTGAAAAGGTGCTTCTGTAACTGGAGGAAAGCTTCGATCTCTATGCCTCTAACTATGCAGCCCTATTGCCCCGTTGATGCGGAATCCAGTCCCTGATACGAGGTCGTGCATTGTGGCTATATGGTGCAAGGCGATGGCAAATGGCTCTGAGAATTTTGAAGGGATGATCACCAATCCACTTGTTTATCCAGAATCAGGTGTGCCTTCCATTGCCCACCATAGATCTTGGGCTGTTGATGAAGATGCAGCTACACTGAAACTGATATCCAATCTACTTTTGTATCTAGAATATGTAGCAGCATATTGTTAAAAGGAAAATTTTCCATGCGTTGGGGCGGCGTACATCTGCATTTGCATTCCCCGAGGCATAAAGCAATCATCTTAGGGATGGACGCTAAGTGGTGGTCCCTTTGGAAAAGGAGAAAAATCAATGGCCTAAATTTGTTTCAAATAATTATCTTTTTTAAATTATTTATTTTACATATTCATGATGTCCAAGATAGAGATCATATATACCTGTTAGATTAGGTCCAAAAGCCATATCAAAAATTGATTTTTAAGCGGGAATGCATGTGTACATATGACCCATAGAAACTGTGTCTTATTGGTAGTGGGACTTGGGGGAGGAAACACTCAGTTTAAGGGCAGGGAAAGGCACGTAGTTATGGGTTGAGTTTGTGATATCTTTTTACCCCTTTTCCTGTTATTTGGGTATGATTAGAAACAAATGCATGGAGTCTCTTAACTTATTAAAACAAATAAATTGGACTAGTAGGCTTTATTCCATTGCATTGTCGAAGTTATGCCTTTGCGATACACCAGCATAGGTATGAGCGTGTTCGCAAAGTCGGCCGAGTAGTTTCTACTCATCAGAGTTACTCGGCCCAAACTCTGCGGCCTTGGGTCCGAGCTTGAGTCGGTTGTCCAACTCCGGGATATTAAATTTTTTAAAAAAATATTAAAAATCCTAAAAAAATAAGGAGTTTATTTAGGATATTTGTTTTAATATTTTCTATCCTTTTGAAAAGATTGGAAAGTGTTTTGGCCGTGAACAGTTACTTTTATATTTTCTGATCTTTTTTGGATTATTTTAAAAATACCCCCAAGTCACAAGTTGATTTAGTAAAATCTTTTTTTTTTTTTAAAACCATTTTTTTGTTGCTACAATGCTCGGCATTACTGGGATCGGGCATGGGTCAAGTATTGGTTTCCACCACTAGGTATGAGAAGTACCAATCAAACAAGAGAGAAACTAAACAAAGGCCAAATACAAAGGAAAAACAAGTGGTCCACTTCACTTCTGGTGAAAAATTATATGCCATAATAACCTCATCTGCTTAAACCCATCTCAAAGATTTCCCAACCATCACCCAAATCATCGACAAATCCCCCTCAAAGATTTCATACTATCACCCAAATCATTATCAGAACCCCTTTCCAAACTACCACCCATATCATCAACAAATCCCCACTCTCCTTATGAATGGAAAAACAAGTTATCATTATAATGCGGTTGGAACAAGGTGGTAACCTTTAATAGTCAAAATAAGGCGTACTTCTAAACTTTGTTAGAAGATGCAAATTCGCAGCCAGAATCTCTATCAGGGCCTGAAAAATCTATCTTCACTTTTAATTATGAAATTTAAAGCTCCAAGCGGTGTTCTGAGACTTGGCCGAGGCTAATTGAATTCGGTTGAGTAACTCGGTGTTGCCCCATTATTGATAGGGTTGTACATCTTGTTTATAAACTTTATTTATGTTAATATGGCGAATTTAAGTCAAGCATATTTAGATGACTCCATGGTTAGTTCTGACACATGTTTTTGCATGGTCATGGTTCGAATCTCTCTAATGAACATCGCTTTTTTAAAGATTGTTATTTTTTTTACAAGGAGGTAGCTTTATGTCAGGCAGCATAATCAATACATGCCTTCCATAAAAAAATTTCTTGAATTTCATGACATATCCGATGCCATCTAATTTGACATCTAATGTCTAAGAGTGCTTGTTACCTTCTTGTAACATAGATAAATGGTCTCATAGTATACAATCCTTTTTTATTAATACCCTTTTACACCATTCATTTTAAATTTTGATGAGGGACCTTTGTTTGCAATCCATCGTAAAGATGTTTATTGCGTTTGGTATGTAGACCAACAACTATGTCCTAAGACACATCAAATACATTTCTTTTTGCTAACTTGACCTACATAAGTTACTTAAGCCAAGTGACCTAAGCGCCATCCTTGCTCTAAGTTCCAATCTTGGAATACATTTTGGAAATTAAAATGTTATACATGGTTTGGAAATTGCAACAAAATGAGGGCAATTGTAATATATTTGTCGTCATTTAAGTCACTCAAGCTAAATGACTTCCCTACTTGTGCATGTTATAGGCTCCAAATACATAACAACATTTTTAGAGAAAAACAGATTCGGGTTTTGAACTCAAATAAGTAATGGGCATGTAGCTTAATCAACATGTGGCCGAATACGCCCTCATTTATTACAAATTCCAAATTTGAGCGACGGTAATTCGATTACTTTCTAACTAAATAAATTTATTATTCTTTTAAAAATAACCACTTTTCTGATGATAGTTAAGAAGTATCATCGTGTAGTTGACCCCAAATAGTTGAGAAAGACTATGATGATAATGATGGCTAGATCAATATTGATTTAAGTATTGTCAAATGGATGCCCCCTAAAACTGAGGGACAAAAGAAAATATGTCTAAGTGGACAGGAACTAGTGAGGCTTATGATTTGTTATGGAAAACTAAGGACTGAAATCTATTTAGGACACTAACAAGAGCAAATTCTATGACAAAAAATAGTGGAGCATTAATTTGAATTTTTTATGGACATCTTAAAAAAATTGTCGTCTTTTTTTGTTTTTTTAAAATAGCGTGCTAAAATTGGGAAATAATATCACAACCATCAACATCTTAGCCAGTCAAGATCAATTCCAAATCCTTATGAAAATAATATTTACTTTATAAACTTATAATTTATCAATATTGATTAAGAAAGACATTAGATAAATAAACATTAGTAAAAGATCTCTATCGTATCCGAATTCATCTACCAAAGATTCGTATCATTCTTTTGTTTTTGTTTTTTTTTTTAAAAGTCGCCCAAGTTTAGGATAAGACCTAGCATTTACATGTCCCACCTAAATTTGGTAAATCATGCTCCACCAAAATTTAATAAAGCGACTTCTACGTCGGAGGGTCAATTAGGGGTTTATACTATAAGTGTTTATCTTTCTTACCAGGACAGTATAAATATTACAAATATCACTGGCCATTCGATTTCAAATAAAATAGTTGGGTTTTGTTAGGCTACACCATTTGTTTTCATATATTTTAAAGTCCTCAATATTTTTGGACATCTAAATAACCTTAAATTATAATATATATTTTTTTTAGTAGGGACATTTTTGGTCATTTAAAATGGCAGAATGGATATTTTTACAAAAAAATAATAGCATTCTATTAGTATTTAAAAAATAATTAATGTAACTTGTGGATGATGTTACACACCATGTCGGTGATGTGATTGCCCACTATTGTTGATAAATACTTTAATTTCTATTAAAAATTTCTACTTTACTTTTGACTAATTACTTAAAATACCTCTAGACAAAAAGTTACTACAATATAGGATAAGAGTATCTAAGTATCCAAAAATATTGATGACCTATATGGTATACACAATAAAGTGATGCAGCCTAATAAAACCCAAAATGGTTTGGGTTGTGTCAATTTTTTTTTTTAATATTTTGAGCTAATAACAAACTCACAACATAGTGATTTAAAATCCGACGAATACAAATGATTATGATCTTTTTATATACTAAAAGTAAATGGTATCTCTGTATAATTTTTTTTTATTTTAAAAACAAATGGTTGCAGTCTCTCTAAAAAAGAGCAAACTCAACTATTTGAAAATTTCTTTAAAAAAATAAATTTTTTTAGTTTTTTTTTATCATATTTATTTTTTACTCATCAATGAACTTTATCTTAACCATCATCATTATCATGATAATTAAAGCCTTTTTTAACTATTTGATGTGGACAACACGAATTCTGGCTATCATATTAAGAGCCAACTTCAATCAAGTCATAAGCCACCGTTTGTGAACTTCATGTTAAATATTACATTACATTACATGTGCTTAAAACTTTAGGTACAAAATCCATCTAAAAAATGGATCATGAACAGGGGACGTATACCAGCATATGAGTCCCAAGACTCATAAAAAATGTGTCCTTAGTGTCCAATAATAAACCAAGGTCGGTGATAGAGTTTTAGATATATTCTTGCACGTGTCTCATGTTGATTGGAGGATAAAATTTATGTTATCATGTGTCCCATTTCCCATCTACCGTTTACATATTCAACTCAATAATTTTGGCACGTGTTCCACATACTTGTTAAACGAGTTTCATGGATTCCTCCATCTTTTCATGGAAAAGAGTAGCTAAAAATTCTTGTGCTGCCGCGGGAGCATGTAAATTCAGGAGCATTTGAGTGCCTAAACTATGGGGACTTAAGCACACTAACTAATCTGAGGCGAAAAAGAGGGGAAAATATTTTTTGTATTCCTTTGTTACAAAAAAAAAGTCATAATTGCTCCAAGCCATTAGATGTCAAATTGGGTCGTTTGGATGTGCGACAAAATTAGATGTCAAATTAGGTGGTTTGGATGTGTGATAAAATTCAAGAAATTTTATCATGAATTTGGAGTTTACTCAACGACACACTCATGACCACTTGCTTTGAAAGTTGATGGGCAATAATGATTTGTGATTTCCTTGTATTAAACGTAAATAATCTTTTTATATATATTTTTTAAAAAAATTAATTGATTGATTGATTTATTTATTGGGGAAGTTTTCTCTTAATAAAAGCTGTGCATATCTCTTTAGGTATGTTGGTACTTTTCTAAATTGTGATAGAGCAATATGTGAAAAAGTTCATATCCACAAACGTTGTTGCGATTTAAAAAAACCTTACAATCATCTTGACTTCAATACTATGAAAAATAGAAGACGGGATTTTTTAATTTTTTGAAATAGTGCCTTTTGCAACACATTAGTTAAACTGTTAATTTTTTAAATATTTATAGATTTGCTTGATCTATACTATTTTTGAAACTTTAAATTTTATAGTTAAGTGTCAAAACTGATTTTTAGGCCATTGTAATTTTTTCCGATATTTGAAGTGTACTTTTTAGCAAGATTTAGAGGTGTACCTCACTTTGATTGTTGAAGATTGGTACTTTTTACAAAAAGAAAAAGTTTATATAAGTTCGAGGCTCTAAACAATCAAATTAGGGCACATCTCAAAAACCTTACTAGAAAAGGTTGTTTTGATGCCCAAATATCCTCAAATTGACCATCTAGACCCCAAGATGCATGGACATGACAAAAAAATGGATTTCAAGTTTTGGAATTAGTGCATATTGGAATACATTT